AGAGCCAGAGCCAGAGCTAGAGCCAGAGCCAGAGCTAGAGCTAGAGCTGGAGCTAGAGCTAGAGCCAGAGCTAGAACCAGAGCCAGATGAGGCGGAAGTAGAGGAGCCTGATTCGGATCCTGAAGCTGAAGAGCCAGAGCCTGAGCTTGAACCAGGTCGCGAGCTCGGAGTCACCGATGGACGAAGGCGAGTGACAATTACGGGCACACTAGAGCTGGCTCGAAGGCTCGGTGTTGACACTTGAACAGAAGCGCTGGGTATCAATGCAGAGGACGAGCCTTGAACAGCCGCAGACGAGCTGGACACAGCCACGGAACGAGTGGGAGACGTAGCAGCAGCAATAGCACTAGAAGCAGCAGCACTAGAGGCAACAGCACTAGAAGCAACAGCAGCAGCAGCAGCAGCACATCGTTCGGCGGCCGCAGCGCTGGTGTCCACAGCGAGATCCGCAACCTCCACCGTCGCGCCAGCTCCATCACAGACCGCCTTGATGGTGAGGGTCGAGCTACCAGAGGATGCGCCACTGAGGCAGGTCGAAAAAGGAGCTGACGAACCTGCTGGAACAGTCAGGCTGTCGAGAAGATCAATGCCTTGATAGATGCTCAAGGTGCAGGAGACACCACTCCGCTTGCGCTTGGTTGTGGCGGTTTCAGACACTGAAACTGTGCCCGAGACCGACGAATCATCGGAACTATCCACCTCCTGCGACGCTTCCAAAGATGTTCCTGTGGTGGTATCGGCCGTGAGGGTGGTACTATCGTCATCGGTGACCGCAGTCGTGCCCGTAGACGACGACCAGGTGGATGTGGAAGCGCTTGTGGCCGTGGACGAGGCAGCAGAGGTCGACGAGGTCATGGTACTCAGAGCAGTGGTCAAGGCGCCCAGCGAGTCAGCACTGTTGGTGGTGGTGATGGCCGCGCTGGACGTGCTGTCGGTGGCGGAGGACGTGAGGGCAAGACTGGTGGATGCACTGGTAGCAGAGGTGGTATCGGAGCAAGTGCTGACCATGGAGATATCGGCCAGTCCAACGACAGGGTTCCCATCAGCGACACCTTGCGAGCAACTGATGGTGATGACAAAGGGGATGCCGGTGGCAGTCGTGGGAGTATAAGTGCCAGTGACAGTCGACCAGCTACTGGTTCGGCCAGCCACCAGCGCAGCAGAGGCTGCTGTGAAGGAAGTACCGTCGACAGCGACCGAAATGCTACAGGAAGCTCCAGTCGAGTCATCAGTAGCCACAAACCAGTCCAGCGAGACATGATACGGCGTGCCCACCTCCACCGAGGCGATGTTCTGACGCACCAGCACCCAGCCATAACTGAAATCATCCATTTCTCTGCCCTCTCGTCAGATGTCGATGTCTCCTTCAAGGATATTCAAGTCAGGGGCAGACACTCACAGGTAGGCACCGCCATCAGGACCCCCCGTATTGACCACAGTGAGAGTCTGAGGGTTAGGGCCGACACTGGTGCTCCAATAAGAGGTATAGGCAGAAGACCCTCCCTGAATCACATCAGTGGTTGTGCAGGCCAAAGCCATGCGCATCAGCGGCATCACGCCTGCTCCGAAGAGCAGGGATCGTAGAGGAGCCATTGTGAGTCAATTGCTTGTCCCTTCACTGGGATGAGGTGCAGGGATTGGGCTCAACATATAGTCGCCCAAGTCGATTCACCTTCGCCTGATCGAATTGATCGAACTCGTATTCTTTTTTGGCACGGCGAGGATAAAGAGGGCGACTTCAAGCGAAGCGGGTGGAGCCTCGCAGAAATACAGCAATTCATGCCGACGAACGGCAAGATTTGCCCCTGAACACCACGGTCAAGTCCGGAGGCGAAGCCGATCCAGTGGGTCTTTGCATGGATTTACATCCTCTGATGGTGCTATGCAGGTACAGTATTGTACGCTTGAGATCGTGTGGGAGCTGGATGCCAGGCTCATTGGCCCGGTCGAAGGAGTGGCCCCGTAACTTAGACTCACTGTGTATAGACTACCACGTGGAAGAAGACTAACTATTGGGATTCGAGTCTCCATTGAGCAGTGAGTCTATTTTGCTGCGTGACTATTGCTTCCCCTGGACGAGCTGGGCTTCTGTCAGCCAGCCTTCATAGCGGAGCACGACTCTCTCCTCCGACTCGTCTGTTAACAACCCCATGCTTCGAATTGCCGAAAGAGACAAGCATGTCTGGTCCGAGAGAGGCCGTGGGGCATGTCTCTCTTGATGAGGACATCGTAGGTCAAGTTCAAGTTGGCAGCATAGACATGTCGTGTATGGGAGTTCTTGAGGTCGTCCGTTCTATCCTGACGTCCCATCTCTTCCTGTGCTCCGTCTCACTTAACGATCGAAGAAGTTAGATCTGGTAACAATAATAGCTATAGGGTGATACTATGGTCCATCTGATTAGAAGAAATGCTTTGTCGAACCATGGCTATTGCCTTTGCGAAAATGCGACCGAGGAGAATTCTCCTGGGGAGGGGGCTTAGGGTTCCGCCCAGCCTCAATCCACCAACTCCCACATCAGCAAATTCAGTGATATGAGATCGTTTAACTTAGTGAATTAAGTTATGACTACAGATTGTTGACTAGTTTCTATGTAGTGCCCTGTACAGCACAGTATAGATTTGTGCTAAGCTTCACATCATGGCTGACGCCACTTACAGCTTTCCCCGCATAATGGATGTAACTATGCTTACTGTCAATGTCAGATTCACTCCCCGATTCACGGCTTCTCACAGGTTAAATACCAGCCAGGTGGTCGGATTCACGCCAACAGCCGTCGTTCAGCCCGCTGTAGAGTCCAGAAGCCCTCCAGAGGACGAGTATTGGCTGCGTCGGTTGCCCCGGCTTACGGAGGCAGTGGTTCGGCCAGGTGAGAGGAGCTGATCGTCATCTCTCTTCCAATGCGACTGTCATTCCAGCTGCTCGAATGGCTTTCCGCTCGACGCTAAGCATGCAGGAGGGATGATGGTCAAATGCAAAGGAATGATAACACTACTGATCCTGGGACCACTGGGAGTGCAGCTGAATGCTTAACTACATGCGTGGGAGGTACCAACCGCGGGGACCATCCTGAGGTCAGCACAGCACCTGTTTGCGCCTTTAAAAAAGGCTGCTCGACTCGATTGTTGCCTGTCTCTTCGCATTCTATCGTCACAGCGTATCCTGCACTCCCAATTGTTATGGTCTTCTATCCGCCCATATGGGCTGGCGAATTGCCCTCCAACCCTGATACTCTGCCTCTCTGCGACTTCATGCTAGACGAGCAATACGGCCGCGCCCCTATCGACCAGTCACCGGCTCCTTTCATCTGCAATGTCACGGGCAAGGGGTCTTCACCGGCCGAAATCATCGAGCGTGCGGACTACCTCGCCCGGGCCTTGTCTCGAGAATTGGGTTGGGAGCCGGACACGGGGACATCAGGTCGCCGATTGCATCTTCCCCGTCCCGTGGTGAAGTCGGCGCAGGCGGGGGCCGATGATGAGGCAACTGTCTGGGCCATCATCGTTCATGAAGAGGAGGCTACGGCCCGGCATAAATAGCTCGAGGGAGGCGTGGAGGCGGCCCAGTGGGGAGATTCTGCGGCGACTGCTGCGCGACCGCAAGAAGACACGGCAGGCGAAGCTGTAGTGAGGGATAAGGCGGTCGCAGATTGCGGAAGATAGAGTAAAATATGCCAGGGATGATGGATGGACAAAATGAAGGGAACAAAAAGAATGACCTACGCAGGGCTCGAACCTGCAATCTCTTGATTCGTAGTCAAGCGCCTTACCATTGGGCCAGCAGGCCAGCTGTTGAAAGTACCTCTAAGTTTGCTTTTATATTCCAATATCAACTAGTCGCTTATGACATCCAAGACACACCATCTTCTTCCAGCCATATCAACTTGATAATCCAGTAGAAAATGCATTCACTGCTTTCTAATTCTCTCTCGCTTTTTTGCTGTTGAAAAGTCTTGTCCCGGATTTACTGCATTTGCTTGAAGTTCGACTGCTTATGCTGAGGTATATATATCCAACATGAGGTATCGACCGGTAATGTGGATCTAACATGACAAATATTCCGAACAACTCAGTCCTCAAACTTGAAGGCTGGGTTGCTAGAGGTATAAGGCTAGAGTCATATTCGATCATTACACTAATCCTATCACCCTACTTTCCTACGCCAGCATATCAAGGAGCATCATAGATCAATCGAACAACCCTACCAGTGCCTCCCAAAATCTCGGAAAAACACCCTTGAACTATGGAGAGGACCATTACCCACCCTGCTTTGGACAAGTCGAGACCAAGAGGGCCACACTTTTGGAATGGTCAGAGCAGGAGAATCAGAGAGCCTTGAACTAATCGTACTCTGGTCTCAAATACTACATATACTAGATTTGGAAAAGAGATAAACCATTAGATATAGCTATAATACTAGTAATGAGACAGGACACACAGATCCCCCGAATCCCGGACAGAGAAAAGAATAATATGAGTGCCGACATCCCCCTAGGTAGGGCAAGCCTTCGCGCTCTTCGAGGTCTTGGTCACCGTCGAAGTCTCAGTGACTGTCTGATCAATAGTCGACGTACGGGTGCTGGTCGCCCGCTCAGTGATAGTCACCGAGGGCTTCAGGCTCACAGTGGTCGTCTTCAGGACGGTGGTTGTGGGAGTCGCCAAGGTGACCGTCTCTTTGACCGTGGTCACAGTTGCCTTGGTGCTAGTAACGGTGCTCTGAGGCAATGTGACGGTCGACTTGATGGTAGTAGTCTTCAGACTGGTGACTGTCACGGTCGCACCGGGCACAGACACGGTCGAGGTCTTGGTGGCCGCGGACGTGATGGTCTCTGTGATGGTGCTGGCTTTGAGCGTGGTAGTTTTCGCAACCACCTTGGTGCTGCTCTCCGTCAGGAAGACTGTAACGGCCTTGATGGTTTCCGTAGCAACCTTGGTTGTCGCTGAGACGCTGGTGATGGTGCTCGTAGAAGCCTTTAGGGTTGAAGTCTCGCCTGTGGTCTTGGTTGTGGTCGACGTAACGAACACCGTGGGCGAGGCCAGCTTGTCGGTTGAGGTCCGGACATAGGTTGTCAAAGTGGTGTATTGAGTAACAGTGGCCGCATTGACCGTAGCCCGGGGTAGAATCAAATCGCGCTTGGCGTTAGCGGAGGGGATACAGCTGAGCGTGGTCGTAACAGTCTTCGTGCTGGTCTTGGTCGAAGTCACGTCTACAGTAGTGGTGGTGGCCTTTGTACTTTCCGTGGTAGTGCCGCCGCTGCCCTGGGTCACGGTGGTATATGATGAGACCGTGACAGTGCCCGGAGTGGATGTCTTGACGCTGGTGGTCGTGCTAGCCACTGTTGAAGTGATGATTTTGGCCTTCGCAGAGGAGGTGATGGTGCTGGTGGCTGTGACCGTGCTCTTGATCGTAGTAGTGACATCGCCCTCAGTGACAGTGGCGGTGACCGTCGTTGTATCCTTGACGGTGGTCGTCTTGGTGCTGGCAGGTGCCGTGATGGTTTCTAAATCCGAGCTGGTGATCACGGTCGATGTGACGCTAGTCACAGTCGGTTCTGAAATGGTCACGGTGCTGGAAATAGTGGTCTTCTCGACAGTGGTCTTGAACGACTCAGCCAGGGTCACAGTGGTGCCCACGTCTTCGGTGACCGTGACCTTGACCGTTGAAGTGCGGTCCGCGGGCGTGAGGGTCGTGAAGGCAGTTTCCTGGTCAGTGACAGTCAAGAGCGTAGTGACAGTCGTGGTCGGAGTTGCCGTAACCAGCTCAGAAGTGCTGGACACGAGGCTGGCGCTGGTGACTGGCACAGTGGTCGAGTTACCCGGCACGAACGGAGTGCCATCAACCAGAGTGAGGTTGATCCAGGAAGTCGAGGCGAAAAAGTTGGTGAGCTCAAATTGCGCGACTGTACTGGCATCCAGCACCGTCGCAAAAGACGCCCGGTCGGTGGTCGACGACCCAGGGCCATAGTTCTGGTACTCACCAAACAGGACACCGTCGGTCTGGGGGCTGCTCGAGGACCATTGCTCCCAGCCAGCAGCTTCAACGCACGAGTCAAGGTACGATTCAATGTAAGCCACACGAGCGTAGCTGTTCCAAGGGCGACCCAGCGAGATCTCGGACATGCTACCAGCTCCAGAGGCCGGAGTGACGGTGCACTGATCAAAGACAAAGCCACCAACTGAAGTACTGGTCGAGCGCTTGTCGGCCGTTAGATTAATGCCATCTTCGTTGGGAGAGATAGTCGAGTTGAGGAAATAGCCCGAACCAGAGCCCCAAATCATATCGATGTTACCCTCAACGTAGCTGTTGCTAGCGAAGAAGTAGCCGTTGATCAACAGCGCATCCTGATTGCCGGTCACCTGGCAGCCATAGAGCGAGGCGTACTTGCTGGACTTGACCGCAAATCCGAGGGAAGCGTAGTCCTTGGTCGTTCCAAAATTATTCACAAAGTTGATGTTGATAGCCTGGAAGTAGTTGCCCGTGGCGTATACAGTGGCGCTGTCCGAGTTGGACTCGTCAGCCTGAGTGTCCACACCGTGGTTGTACTGAATGGTGACTTGGTTGCTCGCATAATCGAGATGATTATCTGAGTAACCCATGAAAATGGTAGTGCCAGATCGATTGACCACCAACTGCTCCTCGTAGGTGCCAGGATAGATGAAAACCGTAGGCGTCACCTTGCTAGAAGTAGGCAAAGCGTTTAGCGCACTTTGGATGGTGTCATAGGTCGTCACGTTGGCAATAGCCGTCTTAGAGACAATGTAAGCTCCCGCCGGAGGAGTGGTGCCGTCATAGATAGTTGTTGAGTTCGAGCCAGTGGTGGTGGTGGTGGTTGTCGTGGTAGACGCAGGCTCGGGGGTAACAATGGAGTCCCAGTAAGTCATATCAATCCAGTCCGTCGATCCCATGACCTCGGACAGAGTGTAGGTGTCCGAGGTCAACAAAGTGCAGTACTCGAAGGCCTCACGCGACGCAGCATTATTCTCCCAATTGCCAGGTCCGGAGTTATTGTACTCAGCAAAGGTCACATAGTCAGTGCGAGGATCGGATGTGCTCCAAACCTTCCACCCGGAGGGGTTGATGATATCCGTCAAATAAGAGTTCTTCACGACCACAAGAGCATATTCCGAATACGGCCGACCTAGGTAGACAAGCTCGGTCAGATCGACCGTAGCATCGCTGGCAGCCTCAAACAAGCACTGATCGAAGATATAACCGCCAACGGCGGTCGATGAGGCACGGCTTTGGGCAGTGATGGCGGACTTCTGGCGCTTGGCACCGATGGTGCAGCCCTTGAAGTAAGCCTTGGAGTAACCCCAGATGAAGTCAATTGCGCCCTCAATGTAGGACGATTCGTAGTATTGGTAGCCAGTTGTACTGCCGGTCAGAAGGGTGTCTTGCCAGCCAACGAAGCTACAACCATAGAAACCGATTTCAGAACCGTAGATGGAGCCAGCCAGCGTAACATACGACGACTCCGAGCCGTCCAAATTGGCAGTGTTGATGATGTCAATGTTATACAGAGCAATCTGATTGCTGGCGGTTGCGAACGTAGCGGTCTCCGCGTCCGAATGGCCAGTGGGTAATGGGCTGACGGACAAGCCCCGCGAGTAGGTGATGGTGACTTGATTGTTCTGATAAGTAGCACCAGGACTTCCCGACTGATAACCGATGATCATCACTGGTCCATCGCGATTGACTGACGGCACTTGCTCATCGTAGGAGCCGGCGTACATGAAGATAATCTGCGTGGTGGAATCGTCGGGCAGAGACGCCAGGGCATCCGTCAGAGTGCTGTACGATCCGTTGACAGTACCTCCAGGCGAAACAAGCACAGCACCTGAGGGAGGTACAGTGCCACTAGTAGGATGCGCCCAGGTGGCAGTGGCGGTCGAGGTCGAGGTCGAGGTGTTGGTGCTGGTCGTAGTTGTGGGCCCGGTCAAGCTGTATGAAGGTACATAATCGTACGCGGTCATATCCAGCCACGACGTGTCACCAATCCATGACGACAAGGTGTACAAGGCCGCTTGAGTAGCAGTCAAGTTGGTAGCGAATGAGACACGGCTCGAAGACCAGGCTCCAGGTCCCGAATTGTTGTATTCGCCAAAGGTCACGTAGGCAGTATTGGGAGAACTCGTGGACCACTGTTCCCACCCAGCAGCGTTGATGTGCTTGTCCAAGTAGGAGTTCATGTAGACTGCAATGCTGTACTCGGAATAGGGCCGACCAAGGTATGACTTGCCATATGTCGACCCATAGCTGCTAGTGTAGGTGACATAGCAGGTATCGAAGACATAACCGCCCGACGCAGTTGACGAGGAACGACTCTGCGCGGCGATGCACGCGCCAGGGGTGTTCGTAGCAATATAACACTGGTGGAAATACGCGGTGGAATATCCCCAAATGTAGTCGATGGACCCTTCGATATAACAGTTCGAGAAGACTTGTGTACCCTTGTTTGCGAGCAAGGTGTCTTGGAACCCAATGAAGGAACAACCATAGGCAGCCATATTGGTGCCATAGAAGTCGGCCGCCAGTGCGGCGGTGTTGCTGGTCTGAGGATAGGTATTCTGAAAGTTGATGTTGTACAGAGCCAAGCCTGTGCCGTCCGTCTTCTTGGCATTGATGACAGGGGTACTTTCATCTTCGCCCGCACTGGTGAGCTCTCCGTTTGAGAACTCAATGGTGACGAGATTCTGGGTGTAGTCATTCTCGAACGAAGTCTCGCCGCGCAAAGTGACCTTCCCAGAGCGTGTGATGGAGATCTGCTCAGTGTAGGTACCGGCATGGATGTAGATGGTGTAAGCCATGCCATCGTTCGGCAGAGCAGCAATCGCAGCGGTGACGTTACGGTACTGCCCAGTGGTGGCATTCTGTGAGACCACGAATGTCGAAGTGCTCGTGGCGGCCGCACTGGTGGCCGAGGCAGTGACCGAGGAGCTCGCGGTGGCAGTCACGGAGACAGAGGAGGAAGCCGAGGAGCCGTAGACGGAATCGGGGAAGCCAGAGAAGGGAGCGACGGCTGATGTATCAATCCAGCTCGTGCTTCCCAGGACAGCAGAAAGAGTATACGCGCTGTCATCAGATAGGATGTCCACAACACTGCTGCGCGAACTGGTGGAGGCGCCTGGACCAGTGTTGTTGTACTCGGCGAAGGTCACGCTGCTGCTCGACGATGAGATCAACCAGCCGATGGGCGCAATGTGGGCATCGAGATACGAATTCAGAACGGCAACACGGGCGGAGGTGGAATAGTCCCGTCCAAGGTAAGTGCTGCTCTTCGGGACAGAGCTGTCACTCGGTACAAACGCGCAGCTATCGAAGACGAACTGGGATGGTTCGTAGGTGCTCTGGTAGGACTGCGCAGCGATGGTCTGGCCAGTGGTTGTTCCATCCGAAATGATGCGCGAATTGTACACGTAAATGCCTCCATAACCCCAAATGAAGTCGGTGGTACCCTCAATCCGACAGTCCGAGAAGTAAAAGGCACCATAGTTGATCAACAAACCTCCTTGGGAAGACTTGATGCCACAGCCGTAGAAGCCCAGTACTTGAGCCTTAGCAGCAACCGCCACGGCGATGTAGTTCTTGGTGGGGGTATAGTCATTTTCAAAGTTGATGTTGTAGAAAGAAATTCCCTTGGCATAGTACTGGGACGCTTGGAATGTTGCAGTCGATGCCGATCCGCCGTTGCTCGACAGAACGGCAGCGGAATGCACGATGGTGACCGTGTTGCTGGACTGATCGAGGGCATTTGCGGTCTCCCCACGGAATACCGTAGCCCCCTCGCGACTAATGGTAATAGCTTCCTCGTAAGTGCCCGAGAGGATATAGACATACTGAGTGGTGGAGTCGGAGGGCAGGGCCGCGACAGCCGATGCAATGCTGGTGTACTGCGCACAACTACCTGATGGACCGACTACCAAAGCACTGGTGGGTACCGTGGACGGCAAAGAGCATCCGGATGACGATGAACTCGTTGCCGACGAGAGAGTAGAGGATGAGGCAGAGACGCGGACCGCAGCAGAAGATGCCGCAGTCGTAGTGACGCTTGCGCGAATCAAGGTGGAAGTCACGGCGCTGGCCGTGACTTGAGTCGTAGTTGTAGATGTTGTCGTACCACTGGTACTGGATGAGACTTGGGCACTAGAGGTGGAAACTGATTGCTGACTGGCATCAGCACTCTGAATGGCGGCCAGGACTTCAGCATCGACCCAATCTGTGCTGGTTGTGGCGAACTGGGAGTAGACACTTGAGAAAAGACCGGCTGGGGAGAAGCGGGTGAGGTCCGATGCACTCAGCAGGTGAACATAGGCAGACCGCTTAGCTTCGTTGTTTGCATAGGAGCCCGCGCCGGTATCTTGATATTCACCGTAGAAGTTTTGGGAGTCCACGGAGTAGCTATCGGTGTAGGCACCCGATGCTGCGATCAAGCTGCCAAGAGCCGAGCCTCGATAGACTACCACGGAGCCATATCCTTTGTTGGCCGCACCCAGGTAGACATTGGAAGTGCTGGTGCCAGACTTTTGCTGAACCGTGCAGGAATCAAAAACGACGGTGGAGTTGTACAGCACCGAGTTATATGTGGCACCCTTGTTGTACACAATCAAGGCACTCGAGTCGACTGGCACGACGGTGGTGTTGTACACATACAAGCCGGGATACCCATAGATGATCTTGTCCAGGGCTTCGATGTAGCTGTCGGCAATCACGGCAAGTCCCAGGTTGGCATTGATACCAAGACTACCGGCCGAGACGAACTGACAGCCGTAGAAGGCATTCTTTGAGCCCCGAATGACTGCGGCTGCATAGCTGCTGCCAGTAGCCGTGTTCACGAAGTTGATGTTGCGGAAGGTAATGCCGAGGACGTTGGAGGAGATGGTCAGAGGACTGGTGGCTGAGATGGTGACTTGGTTCTGGCTATAGTCTCGTTGACTGGATGACTCGCCGATCACGGTCACGGTTGCCGTGGCAGAGACAGTGACGGCTTGGGTGTACGTGCCGGCCTTGACGGTCACCGTGGGGAGACCCATTGACTGGGCGTAAGAGATAGCGTCTCCGATGGCAGTGAATTGGCCAGAGGTGTCTGTAGCCACTACGACGGCGGTGGAAGAGGCTAGACGAGCGTTAGTGATTTCGGAAAAGGAGGCATATGCATGCGGGAGACCAGACGGACCCGAAGACGATGTAGTGACAGCATTCTCAGAGGATGATGTGGTAGACCCTGCAGAGGTAGTCGTCGCACCATCTTGTGTGCTTGCGCTGGATGTTGCAGTGGCGGTGGAAATGACTGCCTGAGAGGTGACTGAGGAGGAAGAGTAGGCGGCGGCAGCAGCAGCACAGCTCTGGACTAAAGCCAGGCTGGCGACGCCCAAGACCGACCAGACTTGCATGGTGACTGTCGACCTCGATCACCCGCAGAGCCTTTCGGAAGAAAGTAGTAGGGACCGGTAAAGCCATTCTCTCGGGGTCTCAAGAAGGTACTATTTAAACACCGCAGGGGAAGTGAGGGCATTGAGGCCTATACACCAGCGAGGCCCACCCTCGACAGGAGGCAGGCATAGCCGAAGGTTTTCCAGGGCATTCTGTTCCTGAACCCGGTAGTACAGCGATGTACCGGGGGCGCTAAATCCAGACTGGACTTCTCATCCGGTCACAAACGGTGGATAAAGACTGATAGATTGCTTGTTGACGAAAAAAACAGGTGCCAAGCACGTGGCGTCGGAGGCCAGCCGGACGAAGCCCTGACAAGCCTAACCTGTCATTGGTGGCATATCTGATAAGCACACTGTGCAGCGGCCGAAGCGCGATCAGCATCGTGCACTGTTGACGCCGAGAGGCTTGCTTTCTTTGGCGATTGGCATCTAGACTGTCTAGCCGGGCGGGTCTGTGCCTGGCATCAGCTGACGATTTCCTTTTCTTGGGGATTTTTGATCTGCAGGCTCACTCAATTCACCGTAGCACGAGTAGCGATTCTTGCCAGAGATGTTTCGAAAGAACGTTCCGCTGTCTTGGAGGTTTTTGTTATGGCGTACACGATTGTAAAGGCCACGAAAGGTCTCTGGCCGGGCAGACAAGAATAGACTTTCAGCGAGTGACAGGCCGTTCAGCTGTCATTCGAGCCACCCGAATATTCGCCGGGAGTTGGCACCGCCACCATCGACCTAATTCTTCTGACCGGAAATGGGATTCTCCGAGCCGGCTCCCATTGAGGTATTCACCCGGCCGGTGGCGTTGCTGGCGTTGCTAACGTGGTCTGCCAGTCACGATCCATGGCTGTTGCAAGCGTTCCATGGAACAGGAGGGTAGTAGAAAGGTCCAGAGACAAGAAAACAAGATCTAGACGTGTATTGTGGTGAGACAATAGCAGGGGATTGGCAGAAGGGGTGGATCTGGTGAAAAGCAGAAGATGAAGTCGTGCTGAAGAGAAGGACGGATCAGATGGTGGGCGGGAAAGAGGGGTGCCTTTGACAGCCTGAGGCACTGGATACACGTGCTAGTGCGCTGTGCATAATGCCTCGCTGACATAATTATGCTTGGATTCTCCCAATTAGGAATAGCTTTATTGACAAACTCCCATCGGAGCTTCGCTAAACAATTCCTCCAATCACATCCTCACAACCCCTTAATCAGAGGGTCTGTTCATCTTAACAAACTTCAATCTAATAACTTCCAACTAATTCAATAATGGTCAACACTAAGTGGGGGCAGACCCTGTTTACTGGAATACGAGGAGTCTCACTCCAAGCCCGCCCAGCATTGGGCAAGGCACCAGCGACCACTCCCTATCAATGACTGCCTGTTCCTGAATCCCATCTCTCCACCCACGGGCGTTATATGTAGATAGGTATTCATCGCAGATCCTTTGCATAGGCAGAGCAACTAAGTTGGTATCATTCTAGCAGAGAAGCCTCAATTGAACGCAATCATGAAGACTCCGACCTACTACTTGCTGGCTGCTGCTTCTCTGCCCCTCGCCCGCGCAGGCCAATCCGGCTCCTGGGACTCGCTCAGCTGCTTTACCTCCATTGGCACGATGCAGAGCATGGGGTCTTTTGAGTTCCAATCCGTCAGTTATTGTATTGCCCAATGTGAGGCTGGCAACACGGTCTTCGTCGCGGTTCAGGCCGAGGATTGTTACTGTGGCACTGCATCCCTTGACCTTGAGGAGATGGCGTTGGCTTCCGATGAGACTGCCTGCAATCTGCCGTGTCCCGGCTATGCGGCTGATACCTGTAAGCGTGGAGGCTTTTCCGCATCCTGACGCGCAATTTGCTGACTACATCTCACGAACAGGTGGCGGCGACAGCGCTTATTCTGTTTGGGTTTCCCAAGACTACATCGACAGTCTAGAAGATAGCGACGACGACGACGACGACGACAATCAAGGCGATGTGGATGATTCCAATGACAATGACAACCCTGACGACAACAGTGGCTATGATTATAGTGATGAGGATCAGGACGGGGAAGACTCCGATGACAGTTATTACAATATCGGGAACGTTACCTCCAGTGCTGTCGCGATTGCTGTTCCCACAAGCACTGCTATTTCTCCTGTCTCGACCTCAGGAAGTGGGGGGAATTTCTCCACGAACGTGATCGCTTCACCCAACGCAACCGCTACAAGCAGTGCTGTCGTCACGAGTGTCACATCAACCTCCGGGGCTGGTCGTCGTTTCAGGTTTCTCTTCTTCTGAATCGGCAGGAAACGAACTCTGAAGAGATGAATTGCTGATGGACCTGATACAGCTCAGGGGACCAACCAGGATTCCTACATACGGCTCCCAATTGCCACGCGCACTCTTCATTGCTACGCTGCGACCTGCGATCTGCAAGTTGTGTCTGCCTGCCGAGCCCCTTCGAATGGCCAATGGTATTATTGTCAGTGTCGGTTCGAACGAACTTGGTGCACGGCTTGTTGAGCACGAGCTCCTGGGCAATTGTTCCGTGGGGTGAGTGTGCCTCGTTTCCCGCCACAGCTGATATAGTCCATCATCGAATATGTCGTGGATGGCAGTCTCTGCGGTCGTTGAGCATCAGGTCTAGAATTGGACAAATCAGCTACACCAATTCGATGGATTTCACTTCCCGTCTCAGTTCATCTCCGTGCAAGTCATATTATGAACTCGTAATTGATAGATTTTTCACCGCTTCATTGATATCATCCTTGTACACATAATGATGCGATCCACCATGTCCACTGGACATCACACTCGCTCGCCATGATTTTACTCTCTCTGTGCCTTATATGATCCTGCGTATGTGGACGAGAGCCTCTCCATCCATCTCAATTTCATACCCCAAATACCTCCCGCCCCATCCAACAAAGGCATATCCCCTCTCGAGCGGACAGACGCATCCACGCAACCCCCCAGTCAATACGGAGGAACAGTCATCTCCACCGGTTGGAAGATAAATCGCTGAGCTGGACTGCCATCGGCCGTGGACGGTTTGATGGTGGAGTCCGCGGCAGTCCAGACCAGATTGGTGGCCGGGTTGCGGACGACGAAGGCCCCCGCGCCGGCGTCCTCAAACACAAAGGTTGTGGGCTGGTCGGCACATTTGCACACCGTGGTGTCACAGCTGATATACGGGTGGATATTGGTATTCGCGTTCTGGATGGTGGCCCCGCCGTCGACGGTGTTGTTGGTCCAGGCATTGAGGTAGTCGTTGGCCTGGTAGAAGAGGAGTTCCCCGGTTGCGTGGAGGGTGTCGGTGGTGCCGGCGGGGTGGATCTGGTAGTGAGTGACGAGGACCGCTGAGGCTGCACTCGTGAGAGTGGCGAGAAGGCTGATGCGGGCCTTCATTCCGAGATTGATACTGAGGTTTATCGATTGGAAGTTGGTTGAGTCCGTTGGTGGCCGAGGGAATGCGATATGACGCGGAATGAGTTATTGGTAGCATGATACATATCAAGAATTGAGCAGCGGAGATGATGTGCCCGCGAGCAAGCAGTCATTTTATTCACAGATACGCCGAGGGGCGTATCTGCAGGACGGAACACAACGTCATCATCATCATCATCGTCGTCGTCATGGCCACCGAGAAGCGAAACGATGGGATGATCAGCTTTGCATGTGCTGGTGTTACAACATCGCTGTTGGGGGGGTGGATCGCTTGCTTGCGAAGCACTCCATGTGTGTTGCGTCAAATATCCATCTGAATATTACTCCGTTGTCGATAGTAGTCAGATTAGTGCTCACCATCCTTAGATCTCGACACAGCAGGTCGTATATCTTTGACGCCATTTCTCAACGATCTGAATCTGGTTGTTTCGTGTTTGGGTTGGTGCTCACTTGGCGGTGAAGCCCTAAGGGATGACCAGTAGTGGTGATAGAAGATGACGCAGACGGTGGTCTCTGTGTACTACCTTGCATGGGGTGAATTGCAAGGAGAAGAGGCACTGTGATATCATTCAGGTAAGGAGTCTGCTATGGCAGTAACACAGACGTCATACCTGTACTATCCAGCGCCTCGTTCTATAGTAGAGGTGCATTGGCTAGGCTTTAAGCTTAACTATAAACCGCAGAGACACGAATTGATATGCAGTGGTGCTTGAAACGTTAAACGGTCCATATCATGATTACTGTCACGGCGGCCAGTACCGAGCTGGGGCTGGCTCGCAACTATAGTGAGTTCCTGCACGACCGGGCCCAAGCCGCGAAGCGGTGGGAAGCCATCATGAACACCTACGTCTCCTCCGCGGACGAGTCCCTGATCGGCTTTCTCAAGTTGCGGGCGGCCCACTGTCTGTCCCAGCACTACCTGACCCAGGCGATCGACGCTGGCGTGGGCAGCCTGGAGGCGGAGGGGGCGGCGCAGAAGCTGGAACGACTGACCACGCAAGTCAAGTGTAGTGGGACCGAGAGGATCTCCATCTTGCAGAGCGCATCCACGTTGGCCCTCAGTGTATACCGCCGGCTGCAGGGGCAGGACGCCGAGGCGCATGCCCTTGTACGTCCCAGTATCAAGTACGGTATCCACATCTTGTCCCGATGACGATCCCGAGAATGACCAGATGGGGTTGATCAATCTGCAAGTTGCCCTGCTTGCCGCCAGCGACACGAAGAATATCCTGGCCGTGGCCTACGCGATTAGCGCGGACAAGGACCAAGGGGACCCTGTGCGGGTGAAAGACGCGGACGAGGCCGAGGAGGAGGAGGAGGAGGAGGAGGAGGAG